ACTTGTCTTTAATTCAAAGGAAATATAAATAATGAACACATCACATTTAAAACAGTAATAAGTACGTAATATTATCACATTATCAAACAGTAACTACGTAATATTATCACATGGTAACAGCACGTATTATGGCAAAAATAAACATCGGCTGATTTGAAAAGATTTATTATAGTAATAATAGTAATCTCAGGACAATTCACACAGCTTCATCTAGACCCAAGTTAAGCTAGCTGAACATTGTGTTATGGGTACCAGATAACTGATACAAATACAAAGATTTTTTTCGTAAATTAATATATATTATCTATACATAGAAAACACCCAGACCGTTACAAACAATCATACTCATGAATACAAATGTTTGCAGCGTGCGAGGAATCGAACCCTCGACCACCAAGCAGGAATCAAAGCGGTGTACTAGCTAAATCGCTAGACTACCGACAACTAGCTGTACACGCGACTTCGTTCGCGTGGAATGTAACTTCTTATATTTTAGTAAAATAAAGTTAAATTACACACGGACGAAATCCCGTGTACAGCTAGTCATCAATAAAAAAAAAACACGTAGGTATCTCTAATATATTATACATATATTCCCGCGACTTCGTCCGCGTGGTTGTTAACTTTATTTTTCTAAAATAAAAGTAGCCTAAGTTACTCCTTATTACATCAGCTACCTGTCAAAAAAGATCCCATTAAAATCGGTCCAGCTATTTCAGAGATTAGCCGGAACAAACAGACAGACAGACAGACAAAAATTGTATAAAAATAAATTTTAGTATATGTACCGTATTTATATTCATATGCAAGTAGTAAAAAACGGTTATTTCAATATTACAAACAACATGCTTCAACATTCTCAAGTACCACAAAAAAGATGTTTTTTCTATCAAATAAACCGTTTTTATTAAAAACAATCTGGGAACAGCGACTTCGTCCGCGTGGAATTTAACTTTATTTTTCTAAAATAAAAGTAGCCTAAGTTACTCCTTATAAATCAGCTACCTGCCAAAAAAAGTACCGTCAAAATCGGTCCAGCCATTTCAGAGATTAGCCGGAACAAACAGACCGATAGACAGACAGACAAAAATTATAAAAATTGTTATTTTGGTATATGTACCTTATATATATTCATATGCATGTAGTAAAAAACGGTTATTTCAATATTACAAACAGACACTCCAATTTTTATTAAATGTATAGATGTATAGATTATTATTTATTTATTTATTCATCCAAAATAATACAAATTGTGTAGGATAACGTAATAGTAACATTACAGTAAAATTTTGTCACCAACATAATAGCAACTTAAATATTAAATCTCGGTATATCTATAGACTATCTGGCCCCAGCGACTTCGTCCGCGTGAAATTTTATTTTATTTTTCTAAAATAACAGTAGCGTAAGTTACTCCTTATTACATCAGCTACTTGCCAAAAAAAGTCCCGTCAAAATCGGTCCAGCTATTTCAGAGATTAGCCGGAACAAACAGACAGACAGACAGACAAAACTTGTAAAATATGTTATTTTGGTGTATGTACCGTATTTATATTCATATGCAAGTAGTAAAAAACGGTTATTTCAATATTACAAACAGACACTCCAATTTTATTTACATGTATAGATGTATAGATTAAAAAAAAAGTAACAGTCATAAGGCTAGTCGTATGCCTAATATATATAATAATGTAATAAATTCATTTAAACAGAAATTGCGGCAACATTATTTAAATTTGTAACTTTTTTACTGTCCTTCTCCTTTTTTCACATCTTTCTGTTATATCCCTATAGTTCTCTCTATATTTTCTGTTTTTCTTACTTTCAATTTGAGACTGTACTTATAATTTGATTATCGGATCATTATGTATTTATTTATACATTTATGGGTTATATATTTATGTATGTATATTGTTATTTTTTTATAGAAATGTATATTTTGCTTTGTATTTATATATCTTTTTTTGACATTTCTTATTTATATTAGTGCACCGCCAATAATCTTTCGCTGCACCACTCATGGTTGCCTGGTAAATAACGCGGCAAAATATTAAGTCCGCCACATGTACAAATTTGTTTGTGCATTAAAGTTAAAGAAATAAAAAAAATACAATACTGTTTAATGAAAATGCGTATTGTCTAGTGCTTAGAGATGTATCAAAATAAGGTCAACAAAAAAGTCTATGATGGTATATGTCTATCTCTCTAACCAACAATAACCATTTTTTATCTTTTACATTTTACGGGAATTTTTTTTATCGTATGTTTAAAATCATGTAAACTATGTTATTATGTCATATATCTAAAGAAATAATAATATTTTATAGTGACATATCACTATAAAATACCAAAAATATATAATGTTGAATCAGGTGTTATAAGGTCAAAGGTCGATGCACCCCGCGTATTTGATAAATAGTGCTTCTCTGGATGTCTTTAAGAGAAAATGGCAGTATGTACGTGTATATGTACAAGTCCTTAAGTGTTAAGTTTTTCAAATGTACAATAAAGAATAAATATTTTTAAGTTCAGTACTTACGTACATTAATATAATACCTACTTTTTACTTGTATCTATTGTTATCAAAATTAAATTATAAGTTCTTAACTTGACCACGACTATATACCCTCTCTTGGCGCCAAAACGAGTGAAAAAATGAACAATAACGCAGTACCTATAGAGTGGAGCAAGTGCTTATTCAGTTTTATTCAACTATTTAGTCCCTCCACCGTTACAATGAATGAAGATATTACAATGTATGTAGCATTGCGAATATAAAATATCTAGATTAGGTATAATAAATTCATAATTGATAGGCCGTTACGGTATCAGAGCCAAAAAGTCTTCTTTCTTTATTTATGTACTGTTAGATGCGACATCGACTTTGTTTTATACTACACTATGTAATGATTGATATACAAAATAAATAAAATATCTGAGGTTTAGACAAAAATTCAAAAGGTTTTATTTTGAAAAAGTATTTTGAATAGTATTTTGCATTTAGTATTTGAAATACAAAACACAAAACTATTTTTGTTTTTAGAGTGACATTTCTATGAATTCACTGTCGATAGCGAGCGGTGCGATGGAAAAAGATAACCGTTTATAAAAATATAATAAATAGCCCTGGACAATTAACACAGACTGATAGTGAACTGATATAAATAGATATTTTTATATTGTAAATACATATATAATATACATATAAAACACCCAGACCGATGAAAACAATCGATGACCGATGAGTACAAATGTTTGCACCGTGCGAGAAATCGAACCCGCGACCATCGGATGTAAAGCGGTGTGACCACCGAGGCAGTCGACATATATAAATAATGTTATGAATTTAATTTGTTCTAATTTGTTTGTGTGCGCGGGGTGCGGTGTACGGTCCCCCCTGCTTCCCCCCCCCCTCCACCGTTGCTGGAGCTTGCATGTATGGAGCATTGCGAATATAAAATATCTAGATTAGTAAATTAATAAATTCATAATTGATAGACCGTTACGGTATCTATATATATTCGGATTAAAATAAGTATCGCAGTAAGGACCAGTATATAAAGTGATCAACATAATTAATTGATTTTTGAAATATATATACAGAGACAAAAAGTCTTTGTGTATTCAAAAAATATCTAATTTGTTTGTGTGCGCGGGGTGCGGTGTACGGTGCTCCCCCCTGCAACGGTGGAGTTACTATGTATGGAGCATTGCGAATATAAAATATCTACATTAGTAAATTAATAAATTCATAATTGATAGACCGTTACGGTATCTGTATATATTCGGATGAAAGTAAGTATTGCAGTAAGGACGAGTATATAAAGTGATCAACATAATTAATTGATTTTTGAAATATATTCAGAGCCAAAAAGTCTTTGTGTATACCAAAAATTTAGCCGTTCGGAGCCAGTCATGCACGAATTATTAGTAAAAAAAGTGTCGAGTATATCGTACTATCGACGAATATATATGGCCACATCGCAAAATAGAATGCGACGTTGCCATACCGCCTGAGATATACGCAATAGGAGTCAAGTTATTCAGTGCAAAAGGTGGAATCAGCAAGTGTTTAGGTTGTGGCGTGATCAACAAAGTGCCCAAAGAGGTGTTTATATATATATATATATATATATATAATAATTATTATGAATTAGGCTCATATAGGTTATTTTATAATAGTTATGTATCATACAATTATATTATTAGAATTATTTGAATATCAATAAAATCTACATGTTTTTCTTAAAAAGAGCAATAGTCAGCTTTCCGTATTGAATTGCAGCAACAGCAGGCTAGAAATAGTGATTATTCAAAGGTATATTATAGTTTAAAATAATTTATTTAATTTCTCAATAACATTTGCAGATGTATTAAGTACCTTGTTATAATTTAATATTCTTAAGCTGATTCGATCGAGTATCCAACATAAGAATTAGATACGTTTAGTTATTGGGTAGGTAGGCATTTCCACTTAACATAATGTACTTACTATGGATAAAAATATTCATTCGGGTATTTTTAAAACTATTACAAAGCCGAAAGAAAAATTATATATATATGATTAAATGAAACCTTTGACTATTTAATAAGTTAATAATATTTAAATAACATTGTGTCATTAAAGCACGGAACCTACTTTAGACAACAAAATAACTAAGTAGAAACTAAACGAAAATTATTTCCAACATAATTATATAAAAAGAAACTAGTGCTACCATCTATGAGAGAGTAGGGTACAAATCGAATCACTTTATTCCTATGATTATTATAAAACATTATAAGTATATCGTGCATACATGTTTTGTATATAGTAGTTTATTTTGAGAATATAATATGCCCTAAATCAGAAAGTATGTATACTGGTAATTATAACATAATGGTGCCATCTATCGGAACAAGTTGTTACTTGTCAATATAATGGCTGTATGAGCACAGTTCCCTTTGCTTTTGCTAAAAAGGATAAACAGTACCAAAAAAAAAAAAAACACAAAATAAACTTCAACCGCGACCGTTGAATGTTTTATTTTGTAATATTCGTCTTATTTAATATTTGAGCGATATAACTGAATTACACAAATATGAGTTGCTTAACTGATATAAGTGATGATGAATTCGTGCCGTTCCTTCATAGTTTACAAGTGGATACATTCAAGAAATCATTTGAATGGATGTTGAATGATCCCGCATTTGCTGGAGTTTTGAGGTGGCTGTACAAGAATTTGGATAATAACAATGTCTTGAGTCGAGGAGAACTGCACAGGTATTCCTTATCTAATAATATTTTGACAACTATTGGAGAATAAATAAGTTATTTCGTACTTTTCAGTCACTAACACACTTAAAAGCAGTAGTCGTTAATAAAAGTAATAACAGTTTTTCAGTAATTGCTTATCATAAGAGAATTCTCGTACGTGTACGAGTTATTGATTTATGGATACTTTTACTGCAGTCAAAATTAGGTCTCTTTTTATCAAGATATTACCACCTATGCCATTGGATTGACTGGAAGAGATCACTTCTCTCTTCTTTGTCGCTAAAATATTTTATTACTTATTATTATTATTATTTTATTTTCTTAGGGCAATAATGATAAACGATAAGATGATAAAATATATTAATAAAAAAATAGTAATTTCTACCTATTTCTGGAGCAAAGCTTGATTAAAGTGTGCAAGACACCTTAGTCCTCTACAATGGCAATATATGAGTGGTATCATGAAAGTAACAAAAGAATGTGATGTAGTGTTATTCATGTGTATAAGTGACAGTTACCATCAGGTGGACAGTTGCGAGACACAACAAGAGTTTGAGTTGCTAGTTACACAGCTTGTGAGAATAACAATTATATTATAAAAGCAATTTAGAAATACAGCAAGTTTTACATTCCTATTGACAAAAACAATGTAATAAGTTGGTTGCTCTACATGCCTGTCCATTTATCATTATTGGAATTTTAATATTACAGATGTAATATTAAAAATAATAATGACCTTTTAATTATTAATAATTTTTAGGTTTATAACATATTTATCATGTACATGACAAAAAATATGTTACAGATATACAGCTATTGAAAAAAAAGGCCTACTCCTCACTCCTGAAGACTTAGAGGTATCTATTAATTCTATATTGGAAGAATTTCCTGGTATCTGTTTACCAGGAGATAATGAGAGTAAAGAAGATGTCAAAATGGACATTGATATGCAGATAGAGAGACTAAACTTATTGGAAAAACAAATTGTAGTTGTTGAAGAGTTGGTGAAGCAAAATGAGTAAGTTTATTTTTAATGGTATATATATTTTTTATTATGGCTGCTAATGGAATGGTGCATCCGTCTGTCCAGCGGCTCACCATGGTATGGCCGTGTGCTATATGGTAGACCACAGAGGCTGTCAAATCATCAATTATATATCAGTAGTATCATAAGCCTAATGACAAGGGGAATACCAATATCTCTTTGTTTGTATTTGATTTTAGATAAAATCCTACTTATAGTTGTCCAATATCAGGTTATATTTTATTTTAATTTATTTAGGCCATAGTTTATATGACAGAATAATACATTTTACACAATATCGAAAAGTATATATTATATACTCACTAAAACACATATTTTTCAAAGAACAAATCACACTGACCAGAATGACATCTATTGATATTTTTTTACAAAGTGCCCACTTTAGTACATAACAGTATACATATATAAAGTTTATCACAAGGTACAATAATAATATATATATGTGATTTATTGTTCTTTTTATCTGGTTCTGCCATAATGTTTTTTTCTTTTATTCACTGTTCACAGTCATCACATTATTGGCCCATTTTCCTACCATATGTCCATTCATCTCTTTTCAGCCTTTCTCTGCCCTTATAACCAACCACATATGTAACACCTTCCTTAAAAAATTGTTAACCATTTCTCCTAAAGAAATAAATTTCACTGTATTTTAGATGTGAACTTCAATACTTCAGTTATATTTATTGATGTATTCTTCTCTTCTTTTGATTCATAAAGTGCAATAACATAGATAATTATAAATTTGTAAGTCATTCAACAATATCTCTTACATTTCAGGATTACAAAAGAAGAACTTAGTTTGGAAGTGACCAAGCTTCATGCTGTTGAGCAGCAGTGTACAGAAGATGAGTCCTCAGCTGCTGAGGAGTGTCTTCAGTTGTCCGAGGAGGTGGAGAATATGACTGAAGGTGTGATTGACACAATAGCAGATTCATTAGAATTGTACAGCAATTGTCATATGGATAAGGTTGGTATTGTCATATTGCGATGACAGGAGTGGTGGGGAGAGCAAATACACAGTAGAACAAATACCCATAATACAATCTCTGCTTAGTTTTGATTTAGATGGCGCTGTGTGAATTGTCCAGGGATTCTATAATATTTGTTAGTCCTTAAGGTATAATATATATAATAATAACATTGTTATATAACATTAAGTTGCCAAATAAATGAATATTTTTTTTTTCTGTGACCATCTTGCCAGTCTCTCATGGAAGACTATGAACAGATGTGTAAGAGTTGAGTCGTGGTAGAGTGTGGTTCCCAACAGAATCATTGTCTCTTTAGGTGGTCCAGATTAGTCATCGGGTTTCAGTAATCTACGCCTTTTAAGGCGACTTATGTTGTCGGGGACTATCAGTTGGTTCGCCAACGCAATAAGGATAATTTCCTAATGTATCACCAATACAAAGCAGCAATGTTTGCAAAATAAAATCTTAATAATATTACATATGTGAAAGTTTGTGAGTATGATGTTTGTTACTCTCTCACGCAAAAAGTACTGAACGGATTTTGATAAAACTTTACAGTAATATAGCTTATATATCAGAATAATACATAGGCTATAACTTAAAAAATATATAATGTAAATAGTGTAAGTGTGATGCAGATGAAGTTGCGCGGGTTAACTAGTATAATACAATATAATATTATTTTCAGGATGTAGCCCGGAAGTTTTTCACGTTCGGTCCATTTGAATCATATAGACAGTCGCAAGCATTGTTCAGATCGCATTTCGATATATACACTTCTAAGAAGTTTAACAAAAAGCAAAAGAATGCGATCACAGATGAAGATATACAAATAGCCTTAACAGAAGCTAAGAGTATGGAACAGAAGTTAGTAAACATCTTACATAGTATGAAATACAAAAAATAGTATATGTAAAAATTATTTTCCTAATTTAATAGTATGTAGTATCAAGACACGCGGTAGCGTGTCAAGCCGAGTTAGATCTTAGGCTACAGTATATTATCCTAAGTTATAAGAAGAAATGATATTATATATTGTTATAAATACATTTCAGGACATACCATTGAACTTGGCACCCATTTAGATCTCACCTCTTTTGTTGTAGAAGTCAACAATCAAGGCATATATCATAATATTAAACTCGGCTATCATTTCACATTTATGTTTTTGATGGGATATAAATATTGTAAAACGGAGTACTGTGTTTTATGTGTGAATTAAAATACTGTCTAAAGTAATATATATAAACATGTACATATTTAGTAAGAAGATAAGAGAGAACTAATTCTTTTTTTTTTTATATAAAACATGGTGTACCTTAATGTTAAGGGGAGTAATTCTCACTTACTTTCTTTCTTTTTTTTTTACTCTCAAATTTGAGTAATTGATTGTTTTAGTACTAAAATAATTCCAATTGTTTTAGACTTATAGCGGCGACGCAGTTTTACATTGACACGAAGGCTGAACTTGCAGGCGAACAAGCGAAATTAGCTCTTATCGCTAACTACAATAATGTTCATCGTAGCCAAGTAAAGTAAGTCTGCGTATTTTCATTATTTTTGAGCACAATGATTCAACATGTCAAAATTCAATTCCTAACATTTTATTTACCAATGAAAGTCATCCTAAGAGCTGGTAATTATCTAATACTAGCTGACCCGCGCAACTCATTATATTTCGCCCAATTTACATATTTTTTAAGCTACACTACTGTAAAGTTTCGTCAAAATCCGTTCAGTAGTTTTCGCATAAATAGTAACAAACATCCATCCATACTCATAAACTTTTTCGTTTATAATATTATACATTTTTATAAATTTTTACTTATGTAAAAATAAAAAAATGTCTTTCCACGTTTTATGTATTTTTATTGAGTTCCCGCGTAAACTTAGTAGTGATCATTGCAGTTGAAGCAATGCCGAAATATAAGGAACTCAATAAAAGTGAAACGTGATAAGATTCCGTGATTATTTTTAACTTTTACGTGCAAATAATGACCGCATCATATTTAAATATGTATATATAATATGGGCCAATATTTTTATTTAAATAATATTAAGTTGTTTGAAACAAATAAATAAAAAAATGTCCCATACTTCGGATTTTTCAATAGACATTTTCGTCTTTAAAATATTAAATATGGATATTATATTTGTCACTAGCTCGGCCATAGTGGAAGCACAAAGTGCCATAGACTTGCTGTTACAAGAGGAATCAATACTGGACCAGCAGATACCGGAGGCCATCAATTATTTCGCGAAGTCCCGGACTCGACTCGTCCTAGAAACCGCAGCGCAATCCGCGCTGGCTGTCAGAGAGTATGTTAGATTTTATTTAATTGGCAGTCGTTATTCCTGTCCTATAATTTTAACTAAAACAGCTTATAAAGTAAGCTGTTTGGCGGCTGCAATAGGTAGCTACACACGCAAGTGTACACACGCAGCCTTGTCTTTAATCATAGTTAAGACAAAATCTGTCACAAGACAAGTCAGCCAGTTTTTGATAAATTCAAATTTATATAGCACATTTTATTTAGATTAGATGCTTAGTATTTGCGATCGCAATATAGCCCTATACTTTATTTAAAAATAAAATTTTAAAAATTCAAATTTCGAATGTCAGGCACAGAACATCGATGTTATTTTATATGCAATTTTGCACTCCTTCTCGAACATTCCGTGGCGTCATTATTAAAATCTGTGTACAATACATTCAAAATATTCTTTTTATTCAATTTAAAACAAATCAACCACTGCAATATTCCTACAGCAAACACTTAGTAACTCCTTAAATGTAGTATTAATGTTATGAACATGGCTATTCTTTGGAAATAAGTGAAGATTTTCGGGTACATATAGAATATGTGAGCAAACATATATAGCGACACATAGGGGAGAATATTTACTTCTTTCAATTTCTTTCTTAATGAGTCACAACTCCATACAGTAAATCAATGTCAGACGGGGCTTCAGCTAATTTGCAACAGTTACTAGATAAAATATAATTTCCAAATTTACAGACAAATCCACAATGATATAACATACTTATTGGAGACGACGCAGCAAGCTTTGTCGTTGGACCGGCTTCTATACTGCGCACTGAGATACGAGCTTCGAACTCTGGAAGAACTACTGCAGTTTTCTGCCCAACTGCGACAGTATGTCGTTAGCGAAGGCGAAGCTATTGCTACTAGGATTGTAAGTTTGAGTCTGAAATAGCTAATTTATGTGCCACTAAAACTGCTACCGCATAAAATGCCTTCCTTGAATCTTTCATAAGGATAAAATTACACGCAAAAGTTCATTAACATTTGTGATCCTAGAACGTGTATCTATTTACATCAATGTACAAATTTCTTTAAATTTACGTAATATCTTATTCAAAACAATCTTCAGTCTAATTTTTATCATGAAGTCTAGAACTGCATTAAGTCCTATACTAGAACGTGCATCTAAAGCTGCACTATCTCCTACCACGTTTGGCTGAGCAGGGAGTGAAACACAAGCGGTGAAGGTAAGTGTTGACGAAGGGGCTCCCTAAACTAAACATCATGCTACGATAAATAGGACGGAGTTGCAGTTATAAATGTTGCAAAAACAGTGAAAATGTAATTCGTGAAACTGTGTGGGTTATGTAGTATAGTGTAGTGAGTTTAAAACTGGTGCTGTTCCTTTGCAGGAGTCAATGACCAGTATACGTGAAGAGCAAGAAGCTTGCGAAAGAAAACTTGAGACATCAGATGTACTTCTCGACACGCTGTGCAAAATATTGGGTGTACAGTCAACCACAGATGCACTGTTACTTGTTAAAGCGTACAGTGAGATATATAGGAGTATTGTAGAGCTGAAAGATAATATTAACGAACGTTTTGAAGATAAAGAGGCTGCTTTGCTCGAATTGTAAGTTTTCTGAATATTTTAAAATTAGATTTTGTGTGTCGTTCTACTTGCGATAATATAGATTTTTTCTATCAATTAATAGTGTACTATACAGAAGTATAATTTTTATAATGAATTTTGCATAAATTTTGCTTTATAAAAGTCACTGGCTGATTGACAACAATTGCCAGCAATCTATTGCAGCCATTTAGGAGTTTACTTACTTTCCTGTGGTCTCAGTTTGATTTCTGCACATTATTAACTTATATTAGTTTTGGCCACGTTTTCTGCGTGTATAATGGAGGTTTTGTAAAAAAAGAATGAATGAAATTATTTTTATCTTTTGCTTATTACTCGTAGTACAAACTGTTATTAGTTAGCGTTTAGTCACTTGTCCAGTAGAAATATTAATAATCTTTTTTCATTTAAACTTAATATAAACACTTGAGTAATATTTTTTTATTCTACCACTCATTCGTCACAAGAGTAACAAAAATTTGCGTGTTGCTCGTTTAAATAAATGTTGTTTAGCATCCCTATTTTTAGATTCTGTGTGAAAACATGCTGCAAATTTTACAAAAGTAAAGAAGTATAATAATTATTTGAGTAACAAAATGAATCTGACATAGTTATCAGACCAGTCCCCTGTCAGACGGATTATATTTTTAAGATTTTGTATAAATAGTATTTTTATTTATAAATACGCAGTAAATCATCAACGAGACAAATCCGTGAATACATTTGGAATGGTTGTACCAAACAACCACACTGTCAGGATACCCTGGTCGCCTCGTTGATGCACCAACTCGAGCAGAAGATGGACCAGGTCAACCAGATGGTGGCTGATGCTAGCAAGGCTTTCACCTCTGTTAAGGTAAGATGTAGACTCAAATAGTAAATATTTTAAGGAAGGTGTTTCATATGAATGTGGATGGATATAAGGGCAGAGGAAGGCCAAAAGAGAGATGGATGGACTATGTGAAAGATGATATGGTAAGAAAGGGAGTAAGTAACGAGATGTCTGCGAACAGGGATGAATGGAAGAGAAAAACATATTACGACGACCCCAAACAAAAATGATTGTATTGTATATTATTTGTAAGTGACTATTTTTTGGAAATAAATTTATCATTTAAGTAGTCGTACATACATAATATTTTCATATATATATTGAGAGGGATATATATTGTTTGAACGTTTTCAATGTATATTATGTATGTATTTAAAGTCAGTATATTACCCATAACACAAACTCTGCTTATCTTGGGACTAGATGGCGCTTTGTGAATTGTTCAAGGCTATTATTATTAATCTGAGTCAATCTGCCTATTATGGCATATAGATGCTCCCGTTCTGAAATGTGACGAATCGTCTTATATTATTATTTATATCATATTTTTTAGATTTAATAGTTGACTTCATGAAAAGTGGTAACTGTCATCCAACTATATGAATACCACATCATCATATATGCATGATTATAGTTGCCATTTTAACTGCCTGTTTTGATATTACATTTTTGATTGTTACAGAACGGAGACAAGAACCAGATGAGGAAGTTATGGCAATGGTTCCTAGCAGACCCCAATAAGCTGTTAACAGCATTAGGATTCTCCAATGTCAAGAGCTGATAACTAACAAGTTATAAGTTGTTTTTCGTATAGTCAACTTTTTTTCTCTATTTATTTAGGAGCTTAGGATGACAACAGTGAGAATGTTAGCTCCGTTTTGATTTTTAAATTAATTACATATTTTATATTTAAAATACATCTCGACTACTCTAAATACAAATATTACACTTTTATCCACAAATTTAAAATTTCTGATTAAATTCTTAGTGAGTTAATAAGTTACTAAGTATTTTATAAGTTAGTAAGTTAGTTAAGTTACTTAGAAAGTTATCAACTCTTGATGTCTCAAAATGTATAGTAATATTTTTTAATACAACAGCAATAATAAAAAGTTAAATAAATGCAATGTTTATTTATTTATTCATTTGCATTACATACCATAATGTTACAGCCGAACGTGAATGGTTGACATAATATTATTATAACAAAACTAGGAACCCTGATGGGTGCAACAACTTACGATGAAAAAGAATGGCCTCTTGAGAGAATAATTATTTTGTTCAATTTATTTTTTGACATATATTGTCATTTTGTTTGCTCATTTGTTCGCTAGTTTGGGAGTCAGAACTGCATCAAACTATATTGATAAAGGTTTAAATAAATAATATTATTTATTTTAGCCATTTAGCTAATACCACAAAAATATTTTTTCGGTATAATTGATATACTTCTATTGTACTACAGATATTCTATTTTTATTAAAACTATATTGATCTTGATATGAATATCAATATTATATAATATGATAATGAAGATCAATATATTTTTTAAAAGTATAAGCACATATCTTTTTTTTAATTCTCTTTCAAACCATCATGTTGATCTTTTAGTAGGAAGACTCAAATAAAACCAAGGTAATTATAAAAAAAAAGTTTTATATATTATTTAATCAATAATTAGAAACCTACCTACTTATGTAACAAAGTATAAAATTCTCTAAAATAAATACTAAAAATGATCACAACAATTGTACAGTCGATGAAACTATGTTCAAACTTATTGCATTGACTATACATACATAACCTAGTAAATTTTACATGTAAAAACACCTTTGCATTCTCTTCCAAATGAGAATATTTTTCACTCTCATCTTATATAATGGTCATATTCTGTCATCATCATCATCCCACTGCAGGACAAGAACATAAGCAATATGAATATATCACGCACCTAATGCAATACTGAATTAACTAAAAAATTATTGATTTTAGAAAATCCACTCTGAAGTTTTAATTTTAAGAAGAGTTTATCGTTATAATATTATAATATAGTTATTTGTCAGTATTCATCCTATCTCTATTCAGAGCACTTGTGTGATTACGTTGACATTTGTTGGCTTATCTTATGGATAAAATTACATCGAGTTTAGTTGTTCTAAAACATTTTTATACTAGGATGTTTTGTAAGGAGGTGGATAAGGGATATATAATCACAAAACCTAATTACAAATATTTTTTTTTTTTTTAGTTAATTGGGTATTGTCATGTTTGCGATATATGCATATTAGTTACCCAAAGTGAATATTCTGGTATCTATTTTAGTCCAGGTTCACGGACAGCACTACTGTTTGCACCGTGATTCAAATGTAATAAAAAAATTAAACAGCTACAGTTATTATCTTATAGAAATCCAGCCTCTATAGCGTCCATAGTGTTTTTAAACACGTTGCAATAAATAAACAATTACTGTAATGGGATCGTTTCGAGATATATTTGTTAATAAATATTTTTTTAGTAATCGGAATAGAAAACAATGTAATGGTTGTATTCTTTGTGCCATCATTTATTTTCACACCAAATATTAAGATCAGAAGTTCATTAGTTAAAAAGTTACCGACAGATAGAAGGACAGACAATGGGCCAAAAATAGGCAAATTTGTTTTTAACTTATTGAAGAAATTAAATAAGTGGTCAATACTATATTTTAATGTATTTAGGTTATATATATATATTATATAATATTATTTAGGTTAATGTTTGAAAAATAAATAAATAAATAAACAAACTGAAGAATGGCCAGAGGTAGAGCACCTGCACGAGACTGATGCCATTCGAGATGCCGTCAAGCGAAATATACACTCAGCCATCTACTTTGTACAAAATAGAGATACCTCAAGAAGTGTATTTGGTGGTCACGACCAGACCTTGAGGAATCGACTAAGATGGAAAAGATAATAAGTTTTTTTTCTGTACATTCATAGTGCTAAAATAGTTGTTAAAGATGTCTAGGATTGCTTTATATAGATGCTTTACAAAATGAGTCCCGAGTGTCCCAAAATTAGTCCCAAGTGGGACGGGGCGGTTTCCTCATCAGAGTATCCTCGGGTGCTATGTGTATGGGATTGTTGAAGTCCACCTCTATATTGTCCGGTATGACGTCATAGTAGGTCACATGCTCGCTGCCGTTGTCTGAAAATTAAAAAGTTAAAAGACATTATAAATCAATAAATATTTCTTTATTTGCTTTATTGATCAACTACCTGGTCCGGGCAACTTCGCCTGCATCACACATACTTGACATGTATCATTATAGCCTATGTGTTATTCTAAATTATAAGGTATGTTACTGTAAAGTTTCATCAAAATCCGTTCAGTAGTTTCTGTGTGAAAGAGTAACAAACATCCATACATTCAAATATATCTATCAGTTGTCTACCCATAACGCAAGCTCTGCTTAGCTGGGACTAGATGGGTTATGGCTAGCAATGTACCATATCAGGTTGCCCTCCATGCGGTTACCCATGGAATTGGTGATAAATTCCTAGTGAATTTACCAGGATGGGCTAACTGACCTGACCTCATGTTCATCCTATCATCCTCAACTGGTGCCCCACCAGCGTAAAACGTTGGCCCAGGCGGGTGCATCATTCCATTATAATCCTTAAAAAACCCCATTGCTAGCAATGTACCAAGTCAAGTTGACCTCCACGTGGTGATCCTGACCTCATACTCATCTACACTGGTGCCTCGCCAGGGTACTTATAGCACAGGTGGGTGCACCATTCCAATATCATCCAATAAAAAAACCCAACCCCTTACTAGCAAGCAATGTACAGGTTGACCTCCACGTGGATCCCTTTGCAAACCATCGATATAAATCCTTGGTAAATTTACCACGATGGGTCATCTGACTTGACCTCATACACATCTTATCTCTCCCAGTGTAAAAAGTAAGCACAGGCGGGTGCAATATTCTATTTTTATCCATTAAAAAAAATATTTGTGCTATACAACTCACTTGTAAGATTAAGTCTTGCGATCAAGTCCTCTAGATGGCGCTGTTCCAGTGTCGCCTTCACTGTGATCCTGTCGCGGTGAAGACTGCGCCGGTGTCGTGACGTCACACGTCTCATGCTCGTACTGATGCTGCTACTCGAGCTGGTACTACTTCGGCCCAGCAGTGGTAATGTGAACACCATCTCGGATAGGGGAGTATTGTCAGGACCAAATTCCTGTTAAAAAATGTAACTGGATTGGCAAAATAATTAAACGTGATGGTAGGTGGCAACCGTCGCCTTTATATGTTAACAGCATTAAGGATATCATGTGATGATGTGACAACCGTGCTACCACTCGTTCGTTGCTGGAAATAAACATGTCATATGAATAACGTCCGTGACTCACCAAGCATTTGCCGCTGATGCAGTACGAGGAGTTATTCTTCCCGCAGGCGGTGCCGAGCGGGAACTGGCCCTCAAGTGTCGAATACACATGTCATATGAACATGTTCTTCTCGCAGGCAATAACGAGCGGGAACCAGCCCTCGGGTGTCGAACACTTATGTCATATGAACATGTTCTTCTCGCAGGCAATAACGAGCGTCGCAAGAAGAGATGCAGATAATCTTTCAAATTTTATAAAGTTTGTCGAAAACTCATTCATATAAACAGAATGGGTCGATAAAATTTTACATTACTCATCAGTCAACATTTCACTTGCTACGCTGACGCAGTACGTTAAAACACATTCTTCCCCACGGGATCAAAGTGTGAGCGATGGTACCAGCCAGATTCGTGTCCGTTGATCCGTAAAATGTAGAAAACAGTATTTGTGCCTTTGACATCCTCTGTGTTCGTCCTGGCACGCGATGCGGCATGGACGGTCTGGGTCCTCTGCAAGAAGAGATGCAGATAATAATAAATAATTGGGATTAGATGATGCTGTGTGAAATGCTTAAGACATTATTGTTATCTATAAAAAAAACTAAATTACTTACCAAGTGCAGGTGATATCTGCATCCCTAAGCCGGACAGTCTCCTCACCCTCTCTTTGTATTTGCTGCACACCATTGTCGCGTACTGGTAAGGTGTCTTGCGATGAGTGCAGCCCTGTACATTTTATAAAAGGTAAGTGCCTAATATTTCCCCCGCACCTACTTCCGAAACTTAGATAATATCATCCCTTCCCCCACCTTCGGAAACTTGGATGATAACATAAAAGGTAACTGCCTAAAATAATTTCCTGTCCCCCCTCCCGAAATTTGGACGATATCATAAAAGGTATGTGCCTACCATTTCCTTCCCCCCCTTCCGAAACTTGGATGATAAGATAAAAGGTAACTGCCTAAAATTTCCTTCCCCTCCCCTTCATAAACTTGGATGATATCATAAAAGATAAGTGTCTGAGATTTCCTTCCTTACCCCCTCTTGAATCTTGAATGATGTCATAAAAGGTAAGAGCCTTACATTTCCTACAGGTTATACAGGTTTAAAATTGTCGGCCTCCGTGATCTAGCGGTTTAGCCACTAACTACCTGGCTGATTAATCCATTGGGATATAAAGAAGATGGATCTGTCAAATTACGATGATTACTGCTGAAATGCATGGCATCTCAAGCTTAGGAACCCCACATAACGGGAAGAGGCGAGGATGAAGAACAAGAATGAATAAGCTATGGCGCTGTGTGAATTTACCAGGTTTATTAGTTTTTTTGTAATGGTTGAAGAATTTACCAGATGTCGGGCTGGCACAGTTGTATGCTGCAGGAGTTCTGGGAGGCAGAACGCAGGAGCAGGGTTATCTCTTTTTTATTGAATGAATAACTTACCAGATCGGGCCTGGTGGTGTCGGGCCGGCACAGCTGTATGCTGGCGGAGTTCCTGGAGGAGGACCGCACGAGTCGCACACCAGCTCCGGGCCACACGCAGTGGTAGTGGCAGCCGCTCGTCGGCCGCCACTGGGAGCCCACGGCACGACGCCACGTGCCTGACGTTTTTGTACTGTCCACACATTAACTAGTTTCAGAATACGAGTCACAACTATACTTATCGTTAGCTACCGTTACTTAACCAAATTTGTGCTTAGCTGCTCATAAAATGCGGTTACTAAAGGTTATCTGACGCGATAAAGAAAAAGGTTGAAAAAAGTCTGTCTTTTTATTATGTAGTGTTTTTTCAATCTCTATGCTAACTACTACATAGAGAACTACTCGAATGTTGTTGGCCGCAGCTGGCATTACAGCTTGAATGGACAATAGGGGCGAGTGCAGATGGCATTACCAATGCGCGAAAGGACTTATGGAGCGGCTGAAGGCCAATTTCCGCCTGACGGATACGATTTTAGTCTGAGGGCACGGCTAGGGTTCGAACCTCGACTCAGGTCGTTGTAAATTCAATCACCGTTAAAGCGATACTTCATTCGTGTTATCCTACAAAGTAAATTAAAGTATAAAGTGCAGTACTTACGAGGTGGTGTGCGGTGTAGCAGTTTGTAACTGTAAGGCTTCCCATTCGCATTCGCTGGGCTTCAATGTGAACTCGTTGTCAGTACTTGAGGAGCATGTGAATTTCTGTAAGTATTTAATAATATTTTATAACTCGAAAGATAAAACTGACTGCCCATCTGACGATAAGTTGTAACCATGTTGCTCCTGGAACCGTACACACGTTATCCCTCCACTGTACATACAAAGCCTAAAAATGTATATTTACCTACGGGAATTTAATGAACTTAATATATTTTCGTTTTTTGTCACAATCGTTCGACTTCGTCCGAAAGACGAAACAATTGTGGCAAGAAACGACTAAGACGACGACGACGACAAGGACGAGGAAACAAAAAACGACAGGGTGAGTATTGTAGGTTAGTTACAGCGTCCGTCCATAACAAAATATTAGCGCAAAATGAACAAAAGTTTTTAAAATAACTTACAAGCAAAGTTTAACTTTATTAGAATATTACCTGGCAGACTCCGGAGATGCAGAACATAGGTGATGACCGCGAACAAGCAGTCCCATCGGGGAGGGTCCAGCCGCGAGATTTGTAGCCACCTCCTCTTGTATCGCACCATACTGCGCACGCGCTGCTCACATCTAAATGGTATTTTTAAATTCTTGAATATAGCACTAGAAAGATATGTAATCTCCCATTTTGTAGTGCCGGCCATTTTTGATTTACAATGATGATTATTTTACCGTCAGAAATAAAGGAGCACATGATATTACAAATCAATTGGACAATTCTTCTTCTCATTCAATACGTTCTTCACATAACGGTAGTGGCCGTTATGTAGTGGGGTATGAGGTTGGTGTCAGCCGTCGTACGACAGATCACCATTTGTGCCACTGACTGCCATTCTGGTACACTCATGGAGTGGCCTCTTGTTGTATTGACTTGGTCGGTCCATCACATGGGTGATCGTCCACGGGGTCTAGTACCTTCAATTCTACCTTGTAATACAGGGCTTCATGGATCGTTTCTTCGTGAGACGTGACCGAATTGTGTTATTGTTGATAGATGCCGTGTAAAGCCGAGTTCTTTGAATAGAAATTAAAAAATCATTTATTCATCTAGGACATTTTAGCCGCTTATGAACGTCAAATTTTTACATTATAATTTTATTTTTTCCCTACCGTCGTACAGAAAATATTGTCCTAAATTCGGTCTATGATACCCCAAGCATTCTTCTCCAGCACCACATTTCCAGAGCGTCTATCTTTTTCTTCTCGATTTCACGCAGAGTCCACGTCTCCGCGCCGAACAGAAACATGGGGAACACAAGTGTACGGACTGATCTAGTTTTTATATTCTTTGTTATTTTTAGGTTCCTCCATATTTTTATCAAGGTATCCATAGCACTTCTTGCCATGGTCATACGCCTCTTGACATCTTTAATTGGGCAATAGAGGAGTGTAAAATTTGAATGACTAGGTACATTTAATTTAAGCTATAGCATGGCTATGGTAACCTGTAATTTCACTGGTATAACTTTCAGGGTGGGCCGTTCAAATCAAAACCAACCCGTTTAGGTTAGAAATAGTTAAGACAGATATTGGGCACATCTCAGAGGACTTTATTATGATTATTATTAAATATCACACTGCTGAGCCATGTTTATAAGTTGTTTTCGAGAGTCATCACGAATCGTCTCGCGCGCAGGTTTGACGACTTCCAGCCTCCCGAACAAGCCGGGTTCCGAAAACACTCACCATCTGTATTCATACGCTGCGGCAGGTAATTCAGAAGACCGAAGAATACAACCTGCCACTTTGATTGGCGTTTGTGGACTATGAAAAAGCCTTTGATTCGATCGAGACGTGGGCTGTGCTACAGTCTCTCCAGCGGTGCCAAATTGACTATCGATATATCGAAGCGTTGAAATGTTTGTATGAAAACGCCACTATGTCATTCGCCTCCACGACCAGAATTGTTATCCAACTGAAAAAGGCGATTTATAATAAATTTTATTATTATAAACTAAGCTGTGGACTGGAGCGGGCGCAACATTAACGGCGAGTACATCAATCACCTTCGATTTGCCGACGATATCGTGGTCATTCTGATGGAAGACCTTAGCAAAATTATTGTAAAGTTTCACAAGGAGTTAAAATGAACATGGACAAGACGAAAATTATGTCAAACGTCCATGTCGTACCTGCTCCCGTAAAAATCGGAGATTCTACACTCGAAATTGTCGATCACTACGTATACTTAGGGCAAACTATCCAGCTAGGTAGATCCAATTTCGAGAAAGAGGTCAATCGTCGAATCCAACTCGGATGGGCAGCGTTCGGGAAGCTCCGATACATCTTTTCGTCCAAATTTCCGCAGTGTCTCAAGACGAAGGTTTACGACCAATGTGTGTTGCCAGTTATGACTTACGGAACAGAGACGTGGTCGCTAACTATCAACAAGCTCAGAGTCACTCAGAGGGCAATGGAGAGGGCTATGCTCGGAGTTTCTCTGCGTGATCAAATTAGAAATGAGGAGATCCGCAGAAGAACCAAAGTGACCGACATAGCCCGAAGAATTGCGACTTTGAAGTGGCAATGGGCAGGGCACATAGCTCGTAGGACAGATGGCCGTTGGGGCAGTAAAGTCCTCGAGTGACGACCACGGACCGAAAGACGCAGCGTGGGAAGGCCTCCAGCAAGGTGGACCGACGATCTGGTCAAGATCGCGGGAAGGCATTGGATGCGAGCAGCGCAGGACCGATCGTCGTGGAGATCTTTGGGGGAGGCCTATGTCCAGCAGTGGACGTCTTCCAGGCTGCGATGATGATGATATTAAATATCTCCATCAACCCTGTCTTGAATTACAGTCGTAATCATTTTAAAACACTCACCATCTGTATCAATCCTTTGCAGACCGGTACCAATGAGGTCAGGGTCCACTTCTCGAGCTCTGGAGCATATTTCATCGGCGAACTCCCTAACAGTCATTCGTGGCACGTTGTTACACTGAAAATTTATAATAAATTAGTATTATTATAAACTAACTGTGTCTGCAATTTCATCCGCCTGAATTTTATATCCTATGTGTTATTCTGATGTGTAAGCTATATTATTGTAAAGTTTCATTAAATTCCATTCAATAGTTTTTGCTAGAAAAAGTAACAAACTGAATGTTTGTTACTTTCTAGCAGAAACTATACTTCGATCCATCCACACTCATAAACTTCCGCGTTTAATTTTTAAGTAAGATTTATATTGATGATGATAATAACTGCAAGTAAACTGTCGGTATATTTAATTGATGTCAGATGTTTTTTAGGATAATTATTTTTAGGATCCTGAAATGTATTTATAACATATATATATTTTTTGTGGAAAATGGAATGGTGCATCCACGCTGGCATAACACCAGTGGAGGATAATATATTGTCAGCCAGTTAGGTCATTGTTACAGGGAATTTATCACGATGGTTTCTCATGGAGGTACCAATTATTACATTCCGATGGCTCAGTTACTCACTAACAATCCCCATAAAATATTGATTAGATATAATATATCTATATATTATATTTTAATATATATATATTATAATATTATCATTATATATTAAAATTAAACAATAGGTGTTTAATTCTTCATTATTTGCTTCTTCCTTATCCCATTCTTAATGTGACGTAATATGTTTTTCTCTTCCATTCCTCCCTGTTCGCAGTCATATCCTTAGTTACTCCCTTTCTTACCATATCATTTTTCACACCTTTCTGTCCATCCATCTATTTTTCCTTCCTCTACCCTTATAACCATTCATATGTAAATGTTATCTTCATTCCTACGCATTAGATGCCCAAACTACGACAGATGATTATACTTTAATCTCTCTGACAACGGCGCCACTTTCATACTTCGTCTAATGTATTCATACTTTATCTTATCCGTTTCGGTGTTTAATTCTTATTCAAAGAAAATAAGGAAATAATAATTGTTTACATTATTAAGTACGTTATTTTCATGTATAAATAAATAAATACAATATTTATTACCTGATCTGCGTGACATGTTTGATATTTCTTGTCGTGTCCCGAACAGTAGTTATTCGTGTTGTCGTGTCTGTAAATAAAATTTAAATTAATAACACACCTAAATTAATGATATACCTATGGTCTGTTAAGAATCTGACGACCACGATGGTTTAATGGTTTGGCACCCCGGTTTGCATCCAGCGGTCGCGGGTTCAATAAGTAAAAAAACTCGATTAAAGTTTGTCCATAGGATAAGCCAACTAAAATCAATCTAAAAGAACCTATCTTCAGATCATTCGTAGGAATAATCCAAAATAGTGTATAAACAGTTCTGGTACATACCTATCTATATTATTATTATTATTAATTATTAATATTATAAAGCTAAAGAGTTTGAACGCGCTAATCTTAGGAACTACAGCTTCGTATTGGAAAATTCTTTTTGTATTGGATATAAATTTGTCAAGGAAGCTTTAAGCTATATAACATTACGCTATAACCAATAGGAGCGGAGCTGCAATGAAAAATATTGCAAAAGGTGGGGAAGTGAAATGCAGACGAAGTCACGGGTCAGCTAGTGTAAAGATAGTACGATACCTGGGCCTGGTGCACCGCCGGGTGGCAACGGCAACTCCAGTAGCAGCAGGTGCTCGGCGTTCGTCCAACAAACACGCGGACGCGCACTCCGACCACCGTGACCATCGTGACCACCGCCCTGAAGCCTCCACACCACCAGCACAAGACCCGCCGCGGCAGTACTACACCACGTATATTCATCTTAATCTTAATCCTTATTAAAATTTTAAAGGTAAAAGTAGGGATGTTTGTTACGCTTTCACGTAAAAACTACTGAACCGATCATCATGAAATTTTGTACACATGTTCTTGGAGGTATTAGAATGAACATATCATACTTTTTATTTAAAAAAAAAACACAAAAGTCTTTTTATAAAAAACCAAAAAATAAGATATCGTCATTTTGTTGAACATAGCATATTTTTTATTTAAAAAAAAAAATATTTTTTTTTATAGAAAAACAAAAAATAAGATATTGTCATTTTGTTGCAGGTATTAGAATGAACATAAGATACTATTTATTAAAAAAAAACAAAAGTTTTTTTTATAAAAAACCAAAAAATAAGATATCGTCATTTTGTTGAAGGTCATTTTGTTGAACATAGCATATTTTTTATTTAAAAAAAAAAATTTTTTTTTAATAAAAAACAAAAAATAAGATATTGTCATTTTGTTGCAGGTATTAGAATGAACATAAGATACTTTTTATTAACACGTTGACGGACAGTAGGAACAAGCGAAGTTCGAAAATTGACACTATATGTTTTTGTGATTTTTAGAATGTTAGAAGTATAGTTTTACTCTTTCTGCTTAAATAAACTTATATATTATATATTATATTATATATATAATATATATTTATCATTTACATTATCATTATTTATTTATATTTCAAATGTAAAACCAAAAAATAAAGTAAACAGTATAACCTATAGTATCGTTAACCTAACCTAAAATGCTAAATTTTGTTTTTTTATTTCTGTTTAAAGTATAAAATGAATAATAAACAAATACATACCAGTATAGTTATATAAATAATAATAAATCGAATGTGCATAATGAATCTGCAACTCGTATAACAGGTGAAATATGAACTTCAACCTAAAAAAATGTTTTCAAAACACGACACTATGCTTCTACGTAAAAAGTAATTTGTGCTGCTATAGCCGTAGTGTCTAAAAACGACCGTTTCGTTTTGGACGGCTATAGTTGTTTTTTGACGACTATAGCCGCAATTGTCCGTCAACGTGTTAAAAAAATAACAAAAGTTTTTTTTATAAAAAACCAAAAAATAAGATATCGTCATTTTGTGGGAGGTATTAGAATGAACATACATAGGATACTTTTTATTAAAAAAAAAAACACAAAATTTTTTTTATAAAAAACCAAAAAATAAGATATCGTCATTTTGTTGGAGGTATTAGAATGAACATAGGATACTTTTTAATAAAAAAAAAATTTTTATAAGAAACAAAAAAATTAGAATGAATATAGGATACTTTTTATTAAAAAAAAAACAAATATTTTTTTATAAAAAAACATAAAAATAAAATATCGTCATTTTGTTGGAATTAGAATGAACATAGGATACTTTTTTATTAAAAAAAAAACACAAAAATAAAAAACCAAAAAATAAGATATCGTCATTTTGTTGGAGGTATTAGAATGAACATAGGATACTTTTTATTAAAAAAAAAACCCAAAAGTTTTTTTTATAAAAAACCAAAAAATAAGATATCGTCATTTTGTTGGAGGTATTAGAATGAACATAGGATACTTTTTATTAAAAAAAAAACACAAAAGTTTTTTTTATAAAAAACCAAAAAATAAGATATCGTCATTTTGTTGGAGGTATTAGAATGAACATAGGATACTTTTTATTAAAAAAAAAACCCAAAAGTTTTTTTTATAAAAAACCAAAAAATAAGATATCGTCATTTTGTTGGAGGTATTAGAATGAACATAGGATACTTTTTATTAAAAAAAAAAACACAAAAGTTTTTTTTATAAAAAACCAAAAAATAAGATATCGTCATTTTGTTGGAGGTATTAGAATGAACATAGGATACTTTTTATTAAAAAAAAACCCAAAAGTTTTTTTTATAAAAAACCAAAAAATAAGATATCGTCATTTTGTTGGAGGTATTAGAATGAACATAGGATACTTTTTATTAAAAAAAAAATCCAAAAGTTTTTTTTATAAAAACCAAAAAATAAGATATCGTCATTTTGTTGGAGGTATTAGAATGAACATAGGATACTTTTTATTAAAAAAAAACCCAAAAGTTTTTTTTATAAAAACCAAAAAATAAGCTATCGTCATTTTGCTACTTGAGCGCCATCTAGCAGCCAGTATTGAAGTTAGAAGTCAATTATAACTCAGCGCCATCTAGCACCAATCAATGCGAGCGAAGCCGCGGGTAAAAGCTAGTAATATTATAAATGCGAAAGTTTGTATGTATGGATGCTTGTTACTCTTTCACGCAAAAACAACTGAACAGATTTTGATGAAACTTTACAGTATTATAGCTTATATATCAGTATAACGTATAGGCTATAAACTTCATGCAGGTTAAAAACGCGAGCACAGCCAGAATAATATAAAAGAAATCATTCCTTACCATATCTTCACCGCATTTGGTCCCCTCTAGCGCAGGATGTGACGTCCACGTGTACCTCTCCCTCTGACAATGCAAATCCCTGCAGATGTCCTCTAAGTTCTGAGCAGCGGAGTGGCGACTCCCACTGCCGTACTTCAGCATGCCTGAAATAACAGATTATATTTATTAAACAGGCAAGCTTCTAGAATTAGATTCATTAGAATCTAATTCTAGAATTTCCAAGCAACTTCAAGAAGGAGATTTAACAATTCAACTATATTTTCTTCATGTATTACAAAACTTTTATCTACTTGTACTAATTTTAAAAACTCGATTAAAATCAAAATTTAAAGACTCGATTTATTTGGTAACTCGCTATTCTGGTAACACAATTTTGGTACATTTGGTAACTCGGTATTTTGGTAACTCTCTACTTAATTGGTAAGCTAGTACTTCTCGTGCGGTCGTCTATAAATTTGATCAACATCTGATCTATAGTTTTTGATCTTTAATATCGATTAAAATAATGGTTATTTCGTGGCTTGAACAAGATGTTGTTATCTCAGGACTACGGGTATTTGTGATTTATGGATTAAAACTGAGGTAGTAAATTACTACTACTGTATTATAGTCCTTTTCTCTACTGTACTATTGCAGACTCAGTAACGCATTGGAAAATTTACGGAAAATATATTGTGCTTTACATTTTGTACGTCACTACTCCTTCGTCATCATCAGAGATGTTCAGCAGTAGGGTTACTGCAACTACTCCCTCTCACTTTCTTTTACACTGATATTTAATATTTTTAGAAATAGAAATAATCTTTATTCAAATAAACTTAATATAAGCACTTTTGAATAATCAAGTTCAATTCTACCGCTTATTCGGTATGCAGATTCATCACAAGAAGAATCAGCAAGAAACTTGTGTGTTGCTCTTTTAAATAAATATTGATTTACTTATATTTAATTAATAACAAGGATTAGGCATGCGACAATCAACATAGAAACCGCTACGCACTTAATCTCTGTTTAATCAGATAACATTGTCAGCGCTAACAATTATTGTAAGTTAGATATTTTCTACAAAAAACATTATTATCATTTATAAATTCTTCAATTTTATAATAAGCTATTTTACAAAGAAAATATTTTATAGCACATTTGATTTTTTTTTCTGGTAAATTGAGTACTGACTTTGGGAGTTTATTATAAAACCTTACGCAATTTCCATAAAACGAATTACTAACTTTCGTCAAACGGCACCTAGGTAAAACTAGTTTGTAGACATTACGTAAGCCTTTATTACTTTTTTAAATTGTTAATATGTTTTCTGACATACAAATATTTTCGTAGATGTATTGAGAAGCAACGGTGAAGATAATTTTAAAATTGGATTCAAGGAAAATATTGAGAAAATTGTTTATATAACCAATTTCATGTTTAGCATTTTTAGAATCGACCATAAAAATATTAATGTACAGAGAAGAGCGGACAGTTGCGTCCATTCAATTTTGATTCCTCATGCGTGCTGCTCTGACTAGATATGATCAGGAAAACTGTTTGTACTGTCAGTGCTACTAACGAATAATGATAGTATGATAAGACTTTAATTGTCAACTGTCGCCGTTAACAAAACTAACGCAGAACTCACAATGGGAAATATGCTGATAACCGGTAACCAGTGTTTGGTCATAGACTCACAGATTTCGATGTCCTAACCATGACATTCAAATTCAAAACATTGGCAATTACTATATCGTATAACTAACATAATTTTTAATCGAATTAGATGTTATTTTGGAGAAGTGCATTATTTTGTTTAATTCCGCTACCGTTAGCATATGTGAGGCCACAAATATTCAAAGCAAACTTACCAACGTTCTGGAAGCATTTTAACCTTCCCATTAGTGATTAAATATCGACCGTTATTGGATCTTTAAGTTATTACTTTAGTGTATGAAACACCAAATAAGGAATTTACTATAATCCAGGAGTATAAAAGATACAAAATGGCAGAATCCAATGTAACTGGACTGGACTTAAATTCAAATATTCAATGCGTAAACCTGACCACCGTTATGGAAGCCTTATAATGTTACCATTAGTGAACAAATTCCCACTGTTATTGGATATAGACTCATATTGAGATACGTGTTTTGTTTCTAAACGAGGCATCATCACGGAATGTGTTTGGATATAGTTTGGAAGCCTAGAGTTTTCCGGACTATTTTGGTTGCTAACACTAGGTTTGACACCACACCGAATATTTGTGGTCGTACATGTTAATAGTAGTAGAATTAAGGAAGTAATAATAAATTCCTGTCAATGTTTTAAAATTAAATAAGAAGATACTCACATTGTTGATCAGCATCGAATCTCTCACCAGGAAGAATACCTTCAGCACTGTGATCCAACTGACCAGCAGAGTTTCCATGGTCTAACAAACACCGAGACTGAACTGTACTGTAAATAAAATATTCTAATTACTATTATGTATAAAATAATAAGAAGACTTTAGACGGTGGTCTAGCGGTTTAGCTCACCACTTTCCTTCCAATGGTCACACGTTCTATACCACTCAAATTCTCAGAAATCTGACTTAAAATAAAAATTTGATTTAATCACATTATAATAATAAAAACTCTAATTCTACGGCATATTTTCTGTTCATGCAAGCCAGCATACATTTTTTGTTTTTTTTTTCTAGAGGCCATCTGTCCATACCAGCACTGATATTTCTATATTCCGAGTTTAATCGTAGTGGCACAAAAATGGGAAGTAAACGAGATAATTCGTTGTTGGCGTCCTAGAAAAGAACAAAATCTATCACATAATTATATTTCACTTACTCTAGAAACTTCTGCAGGTAGTTTTTACTGCACTGAGACCAGGTGATCTTCCCGCTACCGAGTGTTGGGCTCATCAGGTACGCACTGGGATCACAACCGTTATCTGCTAGAGGACCATCGTGGCGCATGCCGAGACATAAATACATATTTATGTTTTTTTTATGTAAGAATAAAAAAACATACGTACATAACATACGTATATGTTATATTATTCCTTTATGACGTCATAAAGGAATAATATAACATGAACGTGAATGGGTGAAAATGGAGAGGATGCTGAAAAAAAATGGATAGATTGTGTGATGAATATAATATCTATGAAGAGTAAGCTGACAATGAAATTACTGATTCAGTTAAATCAGATTCAGAAGAATAATAATTATCTATATATATAATTTTCTATTTTGAAAAGCAACGTACTTGTGACCTATTTCATGTGCCACTACGTAAACACTTTCGAAATGTCTTCCTTCATTTACTGTACAACTGCTAGTGACCGTACACATTCCAGCCACTGGAGCTAGACCTAGAATAAATGAATTAAAACTTAATTTTGTAACATTATTGTTAATGAAAAAACACTAGTCTGTCAGAGAACAGGTTATGTGGGAAAAAATGACGCTGATAACTTTATAAAAAAATCTTGTTCTCAAGTTTGATTACCGAATTACATTACAATCGTTTAATGTGTTTTATGACTTAATCTAAGTTGTTACTATAGCAATTAGTTTCGAAGTATTAAAATTTGATTGTGTGCTTCTCAGTTCTAGGTATATACATTTTCAAAGCTAATACTATTATTTTTCAAATACTACTTACCTACGACTTGACTGCTAACTTTACCATTCTTATTGACCACATACAAGTCTAAACCAGTTAAAATCAAGGCATGATCCCAATGCAAAGGATCATTGTCACCAGGTGGATTCTCTAATCTTTGCCAGGTACAAAAATTGCTTAAAAATCTATCAATATCATGTGGTCGCTTCAAATTAACCGGGTCTTCATGAAGAATCTCCAATCTTTTCAAAATGAAATTTACAGGTCTTCCAAGAGAGGGATCATGATATAACAATTGCACTGCGTTAATCATAGCTAAAACAAATCTAACCAATTCTCTTTCTGTGTCTTTAGGAAAATTCACAGTCATATGTTTATACAAGTCTCTATCAACAAAAACAGCCGTTTCTACAAAAACCGCTGGCAAAATAGCTCTTTTCTGTCTCTTTGTATCAGTCAATAGTTTTTCTATAAACGTTCCTATAGTTTTATTTCTATGAGCTAAATTCAATTTAAATCCGTCTAAATCATTCATTTCATTTACATTAGATATTTCTCGTTTTCTTCTATGTTTTGTCCATATTCTAACTGGCTGAGGGGTGATAGATGTATCAATACTATCTCTCTCAATACAAGTATCTTCCTTTTGTTGATTAGTTTCTGTAGGTAAATTTGTTATTTGTCGTTTAACTATCACATGTGCTTTTGAATCTTCATGATGAAATCTTTCTGGTAACGGATGGATGTAATAGTAACTGTTGTTGGTTTTAATGAAACCCCTCTGAAAGTAATAAAATATACATTTGAATAAAATAAGGGGACTGTACTAGAAAAGAGGATCATCAAATAATAATACGATAATAATTATTTGATGATTTCGATCATCAAAATAATAATACGATAATAATTATTTGATGATTAGGAACATCGTACGTATACTATAGAATGCTTCGACTAGAGATATAAATTGTCATATATAATAAATTAAATAAATACTTACCACATCTTCACATGCATATATTGCTGCATCCTCACTCCTATAGTAACAGTGGTCTAATTCATCGTCAGCGAGTTGGTCCAGTACGAGTTCAGTGCTGTTGGACCATCTTCTCATAAGTAGGAACTTAGGGTCTAGGAAACTATTTCTGGGTGTCACCTTCACACCTAAATGATTCTTCAGTGAGACTAGTTCTTTATCGTCGTGTGTTAATGAGCGTTTACGACGTTTCGACTGCTTCAGATGTGCTATTTCGAATTGTGCCTCTGTAAAAGTTAAGATGTAATCTTAGACCAACTAAAAAGTACAAAACTATTGGCAAAGTAAAGATAGAAATCTTATATAATATTAAATAATGTGTAATATATGCAACGTTAACTTAAATTAAATTAAATTATTTAAGACGCCTTTGTAACTATTTATTCCACAGACAAAAAGTCCTTATGTCAATAATCTCCTATATATAGAGATAATCATAAAAATAATGTACTTGTAATACTTTATAAAGTACAGAGTTTTGAATTTCTTTAATAAAAGCAGAAACCGTTTCTGCTTCAACGTTTACTTATGAACTGAATGGAACTAACATAGTGTAATATAATAATATTTATAAATGAATAATAATAATAATAACAATAAAAGAATAATATGAGAAAATGCGACAATAGCATAAATAATAATAATAGTAATAATGAAATTTATTTATTTCATTCCATTATTAGTATTCACAAAATTGTTTTAACAATTCATCATGAACATCATGTAATTTACCCATAATATAACAGAATAGTTTATAATATTTTTTTTTAAATAATGAGTTAACTATTTTATACATTGTATAAATTTATTACCCTTGTGATTATCACCAAACAGGAACACCTTTTCCGTCTCAGACAAGTAATCGAATAGCTGCTTTGAATGTTCCTGCAACAAGTAAAATATAATATTAATTTATATATATTAAAAGTAGCTAGATTTACATAAAGTACTTATATAATATAAGTTTTAACAATTCATCATGAACATATTTTATACATTGTAAATCTAGCTATAAATTTATTACCTTGTGAATAACTTTTCCGTCTCAGACAAGTAATCGAATAGCTGCTTTGAATGTTCCTGCAACAAGTAAAATATAATATTAATTTATGAGTACTTTATGTAAATCTAGCTACAATGAATGAGATAAAAGATAGCCTATGTTCGACCTCGCGATACAATCTATCTTCACGCCAAAATTAGTTAACTTGCGTTCAGCCGTTAAATCGTTATAAGGTTGTAAACAGAAGCATAGACAGATTTTTGCTTTTTTAATAAGATCTATGGATTATCAACGTATGATACGATATGTTAATATTCTTCAGGTTTCTACTATCTAAATATATATAACTCAAAGATGACTGACATAGTGATCTATCAACGCACAGCCCAAACCACTGGACAGATGAAATGATGACTGGACGTTGAAATTAAAGAAAGGATTTTGATTAATTCTACCCCCAAGGGGATAAAATAGGGGATGGAAGTTTGTATGAAACTTTGTCAATTTGAAACCCATCGGGCTGAGATTTTGCATGCATAAAGCCATATGACATAGGCATCCCCATAGAAAGGATTTTCATAAATTCCACCCCTAAGGGGATAAATTACCGCTAGCGAAGCCGCAGGCAAAAGCTAGTATACTATATGTTTCTACGGTATAACACACGTTATTCTCCAAAATTTGAATTTATAAATTAATTTGTATTATTTTAAACATGTACAACACTATTTGAAAAGATTACGAGCTGAGTTTCTTCTCATCTCGAAATTATTCCGAACGGACGGTAGCTTTGATATATCGTAAGACATGAATAATGAATGACTTTTGATTTGATTGATTTGATTTGAATAAAAATGTATTAAATTACCATACAAATACCATACAAATTGAACAACAATAAATCATTCAAACAGATATTAAATTAACACCAAACAAACACAACTTAGTTAACCAATACACGATTACCTCCATGCGAAATGCTATTGTCAAAAATATGCCGAGGCTGTTTCTCATAATACCAATGATAACCCAAAACAATAGTGGATGCAGTAATTAGTAGAATTCAAGGTTAATAAGAATCAATGCTGACAAAGATTTCCTGGGTTCTTTAAATTCGTCAACAAAAGACTTGCAGGTCTACTACTCCGGAATCAAACTGAAAATCATTTATCCACGTAGGACCTTTCTGCATCTTGTGCACGTCATACTTTTTATCACTATCCCTACCGTCCTATCTAATCTCAAATATCCATTATCTCACATCGCCGCAGGATCTTAAGTCCTGAAAGTAGCCCCAGTGCCTGAATATCGATTTAAATCTAATGTACACAAGTACTGTTCTTTTAACATACATTCAAAATCGAATAATTTTTAAACAGGTAGAATGTAAGTAGGTGTATGGGTACATCACTTTCATCTATTACACGGCGTTTTCGGAGAGTTTCGGTTATAGGGTGCAGATTAGGCAATGATATTACTGATATTAAATTCATGATATCTTAGTCCTTTGGAATGACAACGCATAGTATGGCTGTTGAATATCATATGATATCGTGCAGCAAAAAAAGTACAAGATAAATAAAATGGTTTTGACTTTGAATTTAAATAATAAGATACTTTATTTGAAGAATCATGCAATCAAACTGAACATAATAAACAAAATATTAAAATTTTTATTGCCGAAACAAAAAATATATATTTTGGAGTGGACCAGCCTTATAAAATTTGACTACGTCTATTCTCAGACCTATTGAATAAACACACAAAATTCCATATGTATTCAAAATTCAAAACTCTTTATACTACATTCTATACAGTTATTGAAGACTCCTTTTAAACATAAAGATACCTGTGGCTGGAGGCTCCGCTCTTCCATAGCTTATATTTATCTATAATATCAGAGGAATTTTGTTACGAATATTGTGACATGAAAATTTTATATATTAAACCAGTCCTGAAGTCCTAGGCGCGACAGCGTCCTAGGGCAGGCAGATTTCAGAGGGAGGAAGGTTACCCGATTTTAGAGGATACAAGTCAAACACGTTCACTTGTTTCCTCATGGTTTTTTATACTTTAAATAAATTCCTATAGAAACTCATTCCTATATTATCGCGTGAGTGATAGATGAGAGCAGCAGTTTATTTAACTAAGGCCTTCTTTATTAGAGATGGAAAATTATTATTTTAGAAGGCTATATACACGGGGCGACGGAAATAAAGTGGCGTACACTCATAAAAATATAAATCTGGCACTGTATTAAACAGACATAAAATTGGCAGTAAGTAACGCACTCAGCGTGTCAACTGTACGAGCAATTGTTAAAATGATACAACCCATTACAAGACATCCGATCTGCTTTCTTTGATACAATTACAGTTTCCACTAATTTCCACGCCAGCGGGCTGGAAGACGAAAGTGTGTAATTGCCCATCTCAGTTTTGAACACAATGAAAGTTGCAACATCGCTTCAATTTCGGTATTACGTAAATTACAATTACTGTAATCTGTAATCGTGTTGGAATACTTGTAATTTTAGCAGCTTTATTTATGCTTGTGGTCGCCTAGTGGTCGAAATTAGATCATAACATAAAATACAAAAAGATCTTTGTTCCAGTAATAACAAAAGAGTATTATTGTATGTGTGTGTCAAACACATGGTTAAGTGTAAAGATTTTTATTGATTTAATGTATTTTTTATGCAAAATTTAAAAAAAATCATTCAGCATGTCATCACTCCTTTGCTATATAGTATATATAGCGAAGGAGTGATGAACTACCCGCCCCGGTTTCGCACGGGTGTATATGTAATATATAAACCTCCATCTTGAATCATATTATTTATTGTTTATATAGAGTTGTTAAAAACTGCATTAAAATTCATTGCGTAATTTAGTTTATATATATACATATTATCGAACGTAGTAAAGGTAGAAATCAGAGAACTTGTATCAAGCCAATCTACAAATCTAGTAAATTTGTGTCGGTTGGTTTTACCGGGAATCGAATCCATGATATTGTTCAATGTGAAAGTGATGGAAGCGTAAGATTGCGGAGTGAAAACGGAGGTGGAAATATAATGACAAGACACAGAGGATGTATATTTTATTCCGATTAAAAAAAAAGAGAGCTTAATGCGTCAGTTATTAAGTTATTATTAACAATCCCCTGATCTCATTTCTGCTGTTTTTTTATGGATGATAATGGAAAGCTGACCCTGCCTGCGCTGACGGTAAATATTGGCGGGGCACCATTGTAGGATGATAAGATGAGCGTGGGGTCAGATCAGCTAGAACATTGTGACCAATTCACCAGGGATTTTGTCATGATGATTTCCAGTGGCAACCGCGTGGAGATCAACCTGATAAGGTACATTGCTAGCAATAGGGTTCACATTAATAACAATCACCTTCCTCTCTATCCTCAGGTTTCCTCTGTCTGAGAGATCTGGCGTGAAAACAAAGATAGATAAGGTCGTTACGATTTACTTCGACCTAGACATAACTCAGACAAACCGCCTTTCAGTATACATTGACATTTTACCATTGTTCGCCTTGGCAGTCAAACTATTCACTTGATAGATGCTTGTGGCTTCGTAATTTTACAGGTTGAAACACCTTCACTGCAATCTGAGTTAAGGTAGTCAGAGGGATTATCATCGTTACATAGTATAAAACAAAGTCGCGGTCTCTGTCTGTCCGTCCCTATGTATGCTTAAATCTTTAAAACTACCCAACGGATTTTGAAGCGGTTTTTTTTAAATAGATAGAGTGATTCAAGAGGAAGGTTTATATATATAATACATGTACACCCGTGCGAAGCCGGGGCGAGTAGCTAGTTTTATATATATATATATATATATATATATATGGGCACTTTGTTGATCACGCCACAACCTAAACACTTACTGATTCCACCTTTTGCACTGAATAACTTGACTCCTATCGCGTATATCTCAGGCGGTATGGCAACGTCGCATTCTATTTTGCGATGTGGCCATATATATTCGTCGATAGTACGATATACTCGACACATTTTTTACTAATAATTCGTGCATGACTGGCTCCGAACGGCTAAATTTTTGGTATCCACAAAGACTTTTTGGCTCTGAATATATTTCAAAAATCAATTAATTATGTTGATCACTTTATATACTCGTCCTTACTGCGATACTTATTTTCATCCGAATATATATATAGATACCGTAACGGTCTATCAATTATGAATTTATTCATTTACTAATCTAGATATTTTATATTCGCAATGCTCCATACATGCAAGCTCCAGCAACGGTGGAGGCAGGGTCCCCCTGCACCGTACACCGCATCGCGCACACAAACAAATTAGATATTTTTTGAATACACAAAGACTTTTAATGTATATATATTTCAAAATCTTAATTGTGTTGATCACTTTATATACTGGTCCTTACTGCGATACTTATTTTAATCCGAATATATATAGATACCGTAACGGTTTATCAATTATGAATTTACTAATCTAGATATTTTATATTCGCAATGCTCCATACATGCAAGCTCCAGCAACGGTGGAGGTAGGGGGGAGCACCGTACACCGCACCCCGCGCACACAAACAAATTAGAATAAATTAAATTCATAAGATTATTTATATATTTCGACTGCCTCGGTGGTCACACCGCTTTACATCCGATGGTCGCGGGTTCGATTTCTCGCACGGTGCAAACATTTGTACTCATCGGTCATCGATTGTTTTCATCGGTCTGGGTGTTTTATATGTATTTACAAAATAAAAATATCTATTTATATCAGTTCAGTATCAGTCTGTGTTAATTGTCCAGGGCTATTTATTATATTTTTATAAACGGTTATCTTTTTCCATCGCACCGCTCGCTATCGACAGTGA